GAAAAGCTCATTGGCACAGTTTCCATGAAAATACTTGTAGAATAGACAGAGGCAAATCACGTCAGGTCGGTGATCATAATTTGTATTGAGGTTAGCACAAGTTCATGTGGAAATACGTATCACAACTGCTAGAAGTATGTGTATTGAGGTTGGCACACGTTCATGTTGAAATACGTACACCAACTGCTAGAAGTATTTGTATTGAGGTTTGCATACGTTCATGTTGAAATACGTACACCAACTGCTAGAAGTATTTGTATTGAGGTTGGCACACGTTCATGTTGAAATACGTACCCCAACTGCTAGAAGTATTTGTATTGAGGTTGGCACACGTTCATGTTGAAATACGTACCCCAACTGCTAGAAGTATTTGTATTGAGGTTGGCACACATGTTCATGTTAGAAATTTGTATTGACCCATGTTGAAACGTACTAGAAATTATTTGTATTGAGGTTGTCACACGTTCATGTTGAAATACGTACCCCAACTGCTAGAAGTATTTAAAAGGTTGGCACACGTTCATGTTGAAATACTTATTAACCAAATTATTTGAAATTGGCACAATTCATGTTGAAACCAACCCCAACTCAGAAAAAGTAGTAGAAGGCCTTATTACCAAATGAAATACAATACAAGAAACCAACTACTCAGAACAGTAGCCATGTTTATATACAAATGTGTACCACACTTATGGAAGTGTCACTATAGGTCATTTCGTTTTTTCTGGAAGTCCACTATTTCTAAAATGATTCCTGTCAGCTAAAATGGTGTAAAGAAAAGACGCACTTATTAAACCCTCCTATAATAATGTAGTCTGTTTGAACGCTATGCCAAAACATTAATAATAGATGGTGTCCCCTAAAAGAAATGTATTCACTCCTTAAATGACAATGAATGCAGTGTTATTGAATTAAAACAAGATTAATGTTTATAGTTAAGCAATATTAATGTTTATTGATTTCAAAGAAGATTAACGGTTCAAAAGAAATATTAAATGAAATAAATTGCATGTTTATAAATATTATAACTAGAGAAATATTACATAGACAGAACAGGAAAAAGCGCATGAAAAAGGGATATATATCTATCTATATATATATATATATATATATATAATGCTAAAACAGAAATGATAGAGAGAGAGAGAAAGTGAGATAGATATATAGATACATATATACATATATAAGGAAAGAAAGAAGATAGATAAATAAATAAATACATAAATACATACATGCATACATATAAGGAGAGGACAGATAGATAAATAGATACATACATACATACATACCAATAAGTAGCGAAAAGATAGATAGATAGATAGATAGATAGATAGATAGATAGATAGATATAGATATGAGGAGCGAATACATAGATAAATAGATAGATAGATAGATAGATACCTATAAGTAGCGAACAGATAAATAGATACATACATACGTACATACATACCTCTAAGTAGCGAATAGATAGATAGATAGATAGATAGTATGAACGAAGAGACAGATACCTTTTAAAATTACGCCTACGGATTCTCTATTTAGAATGTTTTCCCTAAATCCGCCCTTTCATCAGCTAATAATCCTTGTTCTGTGAGACATTGACACGTGTGATTAAGGGAAATATATTTTAATATAGCAGCAGAAAACGTGCACCTCGCAAAAGACATTTTTACCGGATTCCACTATACATACGAAAAAAGAAATCTACAATTTTTCTCTTCGATCACTGTTCCGATATCACCGGAATCGATTACAAAGACGGTAAATGCGAAAAGAAACAGAATTATTTTGAAATTCTTTTGAGCAATTCTACAATTTATGACTCTGGATATGGCAATTTACCTGGCCGTAGTTCAGTAGGACAATCTCTGGGTCTCGTGTCTTTGAGAGTCTATACACGCTGTAGCCAAACAGGAATAGGATCTCTTTAGAGGGAAAAATCGAGCAACAATAAATGTATAAAGAGGGTGGTCGGGGCGATAAGAATAAAAGATTAAGAGATTTGATAAGGAAAATTAGATTCCTTAGTCGGAACTTCGCTTAGGTAATAGTCACGAAGATCGATTGCTAATATATATATATATATATATATATTTCCTAAATAGCTATTTTCGTAAAACTAAATATCTATGTAGCGGAAATGGTTAGAATTCGTGCTGCTATTTGGTTCGGTTAGAACAGTCTCGTTTGAAGAACACTTATTGCTATCTTTTCTTGTTTTATTGTTATCTGAGATGACATTCTTCTCTTTATATTTGCACGTTGCAAATCATAGATTTTCCGAAAAGACGAGCGGAAGACGTACTGAATGATCTTTACATATATTCTAAAGGCTGGAATTGTAAAGTAAAATTATTTTTCAATATAGTTCAACAATTACAATGCCGAAGAGCCACTCAATGTAGAACCTTGCTAAACCAGGCTGTTGTATAAAAATTACAGAAATTGTGACAAAAATATGCGTATTATGATGCTATGTGTGATAGATAACGGTTGAGATTATACTTGAAGTATTTCAGATTGTAGTGATCGGGACACTATCCCTTCAAGAGTCTGTGCCACAATGCAACGGTTTTGAGAAAAGAAAAAGGCTGTCTGAGAGGAATTTCCTCCTTCCCAATAGAATATGAAGGAAATAGGTATTCCCCTTTCATATTTAATTGTGAAGGAGGTAGCCCCATCTCATTTCCTTACGAACGTTTTCATTTCTTCAACAACACCTGGATTACCACCCTCAGAATTCTATCTCTTTGAAGAAAGAGACACTGACGGACGAACTTTATGATGGTGGTGAAGAAGTGAAAAGTAATTAACCACATAAATAGCCAGCTGAGTTTTAAGAATCTGGGATGAATACCCTCATTCGTCAGTGGAACATTGCCATTGAAAAAGGTGATGACTATGTAAAGAAGTAGGGATGTGAAGCTGTGATGTATTGTCATATTATGATGAACAATGGGTTTGGTTCAATGAAAGGGGCACTGACTAACAAACGTCATAGGGGGGATAAAGAAATGAAAACAACTGTAATAAATTGGCGACATCAGCAGCTTGCTGAGTTCTACGAAGCTGGAATACATGCCCTCACTCCTTGGAGGAACAGACGGTGACTATACTGAGAAATAGGGGTGTGGACCTGTGACGTATAGCTATATCTTGATGTAAAATATGTTTGATTGTGTTCCTTATTTCTTATAAAGGGTGTTTCATTAAGACGGATTTTATATGTCTTTTTCATTAACACAGATCAAAGTCAGATGTAAATAAATCTTTAATGTTGGTAAAAATGTATTTCTTTCTTTACTGGATCATATTATTTAGGTCATGGCAATTATGGGTGAAAAATAATATCGCCCAAATTTATTCAGCGGCACACCTCCACTCGATGGTCAAAATTTTTGATTATGTCTCTGCATAGTCGCTTCTCGATCTCACCAATATGCCGTATTATCTCATTTTTCAGATGTTGAATTCTTGTTGGCATAGACCTTTTCTTTTGAGATGACCCTAATGGAAGAAATCTAAAGGCATCAAGTCACCCGATCGTAGTGGTCAATTGACTTCGCTGTTTCGAGAGATGATCAACCTTGGAACTCCTCCTTGCATTTCTGTTTGAACGTCAATTTTCGTAATAGGCTTCGATAACTCTAACACGTTGCTTGATAGTTAATGTTTCTAAGGTTGAAATTGCTAAAGATTTAAGTTGGTAAATCTTAAAGGAAAAGAAAAAAATCATTAAACTTAATTCACATTTAAAATCGGTCCAAGTTACTGGAACACCCTTTATAATAAAATAAATTGCATTACTTTTTTTTTAATTCACACTCTTGCTATTTCTTTGTGAGTGAAGTTATCTTGCGTCTTTCGCAGGAAATAAGTATCACGAGAAGATTGTGTTTATTTTTGAATTCATACCAATTTTCTCATTTTCGTTTTTTTATTTTCTTTCTTCTTCTATAAAGAGATTATATTTTTGTAGAATTTCGTCTTCGCATTAGTGGTTTTAATGAGATTCTTTTTCTCGCTATTTCTACGAATAAAATTTCTCTTTCTAAATTTTCGCTTGCCACCCATGTCCACGACACTTTTTTTCTGTAATTTATTTTTGTTTTCAAAGTATTTCTTATTATTTTTTTACTTCGGAAGTTTGCCTTCTGGATTTCGTTACATAATTTAGTAACATCCATTTTTAAAGATGTCTAAAAGGTTCAAAAACATAAGGCCAGGCAACACTTAAGCCTGGTGCTGGTAAAATGCAAACCAATGCAATCTGCCACATGGACAGGTGGTTAGCATCAAAACAAACTACTCCACTAACTTTTCTGGGTAGGTTGGTGACATGTTACCCTGCAGAACGAAAAGTAACACTTTACATCGAATGGATGAAACAGTGAACAATGAACAAACTTTAAAGGCAACAGACCTAGCAATAGATTCAGTATTATATTTTATACATTTAATTTCTACAATGGCAGTATTAAAAACATAAATTACATATAACGATAATTTGGAAAACATTTAGTAAAAAAATTGCTGCAGCGAAAAGCACATTTCTAATATGCTTACTGTTGAAACTTGACTAATGCACAAAATGTACTTAGAAAAAATGTATTGAACAAGAAAGTATACACAATATTTATATATAGTCTTTTGTATATTCCTGGTAAGACCGTTCCTGGAGAATGTGTTGACTGAGTCGCAGTCGGGCAAAGTCTCTCGTTGAATCTCTAGATTCCTCCCTCTCTTCCCGGTACCAACCATATTTATATGGTCGGTACTCCACTATGCAAATTAGGTGGATCCTACCACAACACTTACCAGAAATGACAGCACATTTTTCCAGTTCATATTTCGGTTTCTGCTACGCTTCCAATAGTTAGATTCTCATAATACAACACCAACTCTTTTGACGAAAAATCGTTTGAAACATAATCCAGTCGTTAAGTATAGTCTTTTTTAGTTTATTAATCCATTGCATTAAACCATTTAATTTTTAGACTTGCAACCACATCAAGTTGGGACAACGTATCCCATACGATCGTTGAAGTTAAGCAACATCGAGCTTGGTCAGTACCTAGCTGAGTGACCGCTTGGGAAATATCAAGCGTTGCAAGATTGGATATTCTATTTAGTCTGTGAATAATCTATGAGAATTATTTTCAGAGAGAGCTGAGTTCAATTTGACGTTGGATTCGTCGTATTCACTTAGGTGTAAAATATCCTTACGAAAGGCATGAATCTACAACTTCTCCTTCAGTTACGGGTTAATTAGTAAGTGTATCAGTATTATCTCCAACAAATGTTACAATCTAAAAATATTTTCTGGCTTTAAATAACCTGCAAAGTGTTGATAAACAGTAGAAAACGAATCAATCATATTTTATAATTATAAAGCATCTAATTAATTTACATATTTTTTTAATTTAATAATTAATTTAAGTAATTAGTCATTTCAATATTTAATAATATAATTTAAATTTTAAATATTTGATAATTAAATATAAATTTAAAATAATAAGTATTTTAAATATTTGATAATTTAATATAAATTTAAAATAATAAGTAATTTATATATTAGATAAATTAATATAATTTTAAAATAATAAATTATCTAAATATCTGATAATTTAATTTAAATTTAAAATAATAAGTAATTTAAATATTTGATAATTTAATATAAATGTAAAATAATAAATAATTTAAATATTTGATAATTTAATATTCGCTTAAAATAATAAGTAATTTAAATATTTGATAATTTAATTTAAATTTAAAATAATAAGCAAATTTAATTATTTTATGATTTGATTTAAATCTAAAATAAAAATAATTTAAATATTTGATCCTTTGATTTAAATTTAAAATAATAAGTTATTTAAATATTTGATAATTTAATATGAATTTAAAATAATAAAATAATTTAAATATTTGAATAATTTAATTTAAAAATGTAAAATAATAAGTAATTTAGATATTTGATCATTTTTTAAATTTAAAATCCTAAGTTATTTAAATATTTTTTAATTTAATAATTAATTTAAAATAATAAGTAATTTAAATATTTGATAATTTAATTTAAATTTAAAATAATAAATAATTTAAATATTTGATGATTTGATTTAAATTTAAAATAATAAGTAATTTTAAATTTTTGATGATTTCATTTAAATTTAAAATAATAAGCAATTTAGATATTTGATGATTTGATTTAAATTTAAAATATTAAATTATTTAAATATTTGATAATTTAATATGAATTTAAAATAATAAGTAATTCAAATATTTAATCATTTATTTAAATTTAAAATAATAAATAATTTAGATATTTGATGATTTGATTTAAATTTAAAATAATAATTATTTAAATATTTGATAATTTAATTTGAAATTTAAAATAATAAGTAATTCAAATATTTGATAATTAAATTTAAATTTAAAAAAAAAAGTATTTTAAATATTTGATAATTTAATTTAAATTTAAAATAATAAGTAATTTAAATATTTGATAATTTAATATAAATTTAAAATAATAAGTAATTTAAACATTTGATAATTTAATATAAATTTAAAATAATAAGTAATTTAAATATTTGATAATTTAGTATAAATTTAAAATAATAAGTTTTTTAAATATTTAATAATTTAATATAAATTTAAAATAATAAGTAATTTAAATATATTTTTTTGTTTAAGACGTCGGTTTTTTTACAATAATGACAAGATTACATTTAAGGGGCTTTCGAAGTCGATTGTTGTACTAGAAGTCTTTCCTTATATACTTTAATATTAGCGAAACTATTTCCGTTTAATAACATTATAGCCTGCTTTATCTGTTCTTAAATTTTAATCAGTATTTTATATTATCTACTAAACTATACAAACACAGCAGGTGCAGTTTCAAAAAATTTAATTTTCCTTCAACTTTTGGCAATTCGCTTTAACAGTCTTCAGGTTATTAATAGTGACAGATTCAAATATATGAATAGAAATTTGTCGATAGGCGATATAAAAGCAATCTTTAATAAATGTTGCTGGCAATCACAAGAAAAAAATATAAAAATTCAGTAGTTATTTCAAGACTGGGTTTCATTTTTGAACACGAGTGGGACATTTGAATTATGCTTAGGCTGTATATGAATCTGTTGGAAACAATAGACGTTACATAATTCTAGTTGATTTTGTCCGTGCTCAGTTATAATGTGTTTGAATTACGTGGGGGTTAAAATCTTGAGAGTCGTAGATCGTTTATTTCTGTATATAATAATAATAATAATAATAATAATAATAATAATAACAATAATAGCACAAAATAACGCTAAAAATGATCACAGCGGTTGCGACAGTAGAAGCTTCCTTTGCTGTGTTGCTCGTTCGAGCCTTCCTCACCAAGACTACATTGTTCAACCAGAGCTTCTCTAATAAGACACGTAACGCACGCGAATAGGTAACCGACATACTCCCACCCACGTTTTTTCCTCTCTCTCGCTCTTTTCCTTTAACTCTGAGAAACGATGCCGATCTCGTCTCCGCTAAAATAAAACAACAAAAAAAAAAGACAGCAGAGAAAAGTTATCTGTCCCTAATAGAGTCTGTGAATGCAGCGTTGGGATGCCTACCGAGGAATTGCCGATAGACCGCTGCAATCTAGAGACGACATACAACACGGCTTATTTTTTGGTCGTTTTCTGTCCTTCTGGATTTAAATTTCCTGTAGCGCTTAAGGGGCATCAGAAAAATGAAACATTTCATTATATAATTGTGTTCAACTGAGAACGGTTTGAAATATATTATGGATCAGTATATTTTGCGCAGAAGCGATACCGTACACAGTGAGGATTTTCCGAGCTATGGTTATTTACTAGCTGAAACCTATTGTATAACAACCGCATGCCAACAACGGAATTTCTGCACAAAGACTGGATGCAGAGGAGAAGCCAAAACATCGACTGACATCCCACGATTAGTCAGAGAATGTTATTGTGGAGTAGTTTTTATAATAAGAAATTTAAATTCGTTGTTGCTTCTTTTCATTTTATACAAAAATCATAGGTTTGTCACAGTCATTAATTAGTGCACCAAACGCTATCATTTTTAAGAGGAAATATATATTTTGTTTCCAAAATGAAAGTTGCCTTTTTTCTACCAAAACAGTGTTATTAAATTAGTTAGAAAATTCTGATTGTATGAAAACCTGCATATTTTCTCTTCTACGGATGAACAATAAATGAATTCTCACTAATCTTTAAAATGAAAAAAAAGGTTCCAGTTCCAATTATTTGAATTAAGAATGTTTTTTAGAGAGGGAACTCCTGCCAAGATTGAATAAAACCTTTCAGTATTTACATTCTCTATATTCGGGTTATTATCCTCATAGTCTGATAGTTGATTTGTATCAAAATGTTTTACCCACCGCCTTTTCTCAAGTGTATATTCATTCGACTATTCTACAGGTAATTCTGAACTGAACCTAAAAGTGGTAAACTGCTCACGTCTAGGTATATCGTCTAGTTCTTTCTTTCATTTAGTATTATACCTTTTAAATTCCTTGGGGAACATAAGGATGCAAGATATCGTTATGGATTCTGAAACATGCCAACTTTTTTTTAAAAGTAGGTTGTTACCACAACATCCAACCTGGAGGACCAGGGAGTGTCTTTCGTCTGACTCCTACCCAACAGACAGGACATATTGTCATTCTGTAATAGAAGGACAGAGTGGGTTCTATAGCCTTGGGTGGCAACTGGTCTAGGAGAAGGAAAACTCTGAATTCATAACCTAATCCTCCAGGTTGGGGTTGTTTTAACAGTCAGTTCACATAAAAAAAATTTCTTACAGTAACATATATCTTGAAACCCTATGTTCTTCAAAATTTAAAAGTCATTATATATATATATATATATATATATATATATATATATATATATATTTAAATATCTGTCATGGATCATAATTCTTTCCGCCATAACAAGTTAAAAGCCATAGTCCTTTTCGAAATGTTTAAATATCCAGTCAAATTTTAAGAGGTGGTTAATATAGTTAAAACCTATTGTCTCCTGTCCAAAGCCTGCCAACAATATAGTTTATCGTCATACCCAAGACTATGGATGCAGAACAGTTGCTTCTTTTAAAGCATTTTACCATATATATACCGATTTGGCTCAAATATGTTATTGTGATATCGTTTTTTTTTATAAGATGTCTGTTTTTTTTTGTTGTTTTGTTTGGTTTTTTTTTTTTAAAATAGGTTGTTTGCCTTACTGCACAACCCCCAACCTAATTCAGGTTTTGAATTCAGAGTTGTCCTTTTTAACTGATTTTTTTTTTTGGGGGAAAATGAAGAGGATTCCTTTTTTTTAAAATGGTACTATTAAATTAAGTTAATGTAATGAATTCTGATTGAATTCGAAAACCTCCATTCTCCAATTCCACTATCCGTTCTGCACCGATGAACATTTAATAATGCTCAGTACGAAACAAAATGAGGACTTTTTTAAATGAAAAAAATTTAAACTAAATTTATTTAGTACAAAATAAAAATAACTGAGTCAGTCATGTGCGATACACGGTTAGACGATCATGTATCATACGATATATGACTGACGAGGCAATTTTTTTTCTCGCAGTAGGTTGTCATTTCTTTCTACTGTAGAACATTTGCCATCCAAAGCTATAGAACCCCGTCTTTCCTATTATTTACCTATAGCTGGGGGGAGAAGAAGAGGAGGATTCATACCTTTCCCAAGGGTGTTAGCACGTAAGTGAATGTAATGGATTCGACTGGAATTCGAACTCGGCTCTCCGCTTCTTCAACCCGAGCTGCCATCCATTACTCCACCATACCTCTAAGGAGTACTAAATAAAAAAATTTCTCAGTTAGTACTGCGCATTTATTCTCATTTTGTACTGCTCATTTATTGTTCGCAAGTGACTACAAATACACAGAACCCGTCACAAGGATTGAACTCATGATATAATTACGTTTATAATTCACAATTTCAACAACTTAATCAACTAGACAATTGTCCCGAAAGACACTTAGCGTTTCTGAACTTGGAGTTTTAAACCTAAGCTGCCTGCCGGTTACAGTTGTAATTTCTGCCATAACTGAGCTGT